CTTTTCACTAATTTTTAGATCGCAAAATCCATTTGAAAGGTTTACGTAAACTATTGTACAGTTTTAACGCCAAATTGTTGATTGTCTGTGCAGATCTATCTTAAAGGTTCCAACTGAAAATATCGAAGCTCTATAAGGTGAACACTAAAACTAGTTTAAATTACTTAATTAACAATTAGTACGCTCCGTTTTATTAACCCTTTTAAAACAAACACAGTTTGATCAAGTAGATACATAGATGTAGATATTTTCAGGTATAATTTACGACATGTTTGATAATGAACATTTTGCATACTGCCCCTTTAAATTACTTACAATATTAGAACACTCGGTTTTTGTTAATTAGATTTTAAAACGAAAATATTGCATGCTGGTGCTTTAATATCAAAGTTATTCACAAGCATAACATGTTTATGAACCAAATATGGCATGAACATTGTAAGATTTTATAATGAATTAGCAGTCGTTCTTGTATTCCACACAAAACAACAAAAAAGGACACATCCCTAAGATCAATACATCTTGACAATGCCAAGATATTATGAACTTCGTCTTTTACCTTGACTGCAATAGTCACCTTACTCGTATGTCGTGATGTTGTGTGATTTGATTGGATTGCCAGCGAATACACCCAATCATGACAGTTATGACTGACTGTATTCGCTAGCGTACAATTTAATCAAATGCATTTACAAACTTTCGTGACTAGTGCAGTCAAGGTATAAGACGATGTTCGTTATAGCTTGACATTGTGAACATGGTGAAAATGGGACAAACACGGACGTAAAACTTCATTCAGAGTTTATAAATGTTATCATTCTGTCTAAACTAATTCCGTTTATTACAATTTATCGATCGAAGTGATCCAGTTGGTTAAGATAAGGAAAATTAAATCTGTCTCTGTATCAGACTCTGTACAGGATGTTCTTGATCTATTTAGGATATATAAATACACAATTCCCGAAATAAAAACACAATGCGTCTTTTTTTTGGTCCACCATGCTCTTGTCGAATATAACGTAAGGTTGCTTTCGTAACATTATTCGTATGACTTTTTATAAGTCTAGGAACTGTGCCGTTATTATGGAATCAACACTTACGGATTTTGTTTTTATTTTGTTTATATTTTTACCAATGTGGTAAGTCAATTTTAAATTTTTTTAAAAGGGTTTGGCCCTGATTGGGAATGATATTACGAGCTACGCACGAATGACATTTTCAATGGTATATCAAGCAGCTATTGAAGTCTGGTAATGTTTTTTTTACGCATTAACCTAAATAGATTCCACTTTACTCTTCGGATTTTGTTTTAAAAAGCAAATATAAATATGTGATCCGCTAAAAATATTACAGTTTTTCATCTTTTGAATGTAAAGGTGATTGCCGTTTGAAGTCTATCAAAAGCTTTCCAATGAAAGACATAACTGACTTCAAAGACAACAAAACTTTTGCATCATTGAAAGTAGCTAGTAGCTAGTCTAGGAGCATCACAAGGGGTACCAGAAACCTGGAGGGAAGAAGATTCGAACCCACGACACCAATTTATTGACGGCAATCCTATAGAGATATTGAATAGTAAATAGTATAGTTTAATGAAAATGTGATATATTAAAAACAACCACTTATGATTGACAAGATCGTTATCATATTGGTAACACGTGTTTTGGACATAAATCAAACATCAGGACAGAAGGTTTGATAACAATGGGGGGGGGGGGGGTTATTTGAGAATCCATTTGGTCACAATGGTGGTCGTGGGTTTTAATCTCTGTCGGCATGTGAAAGTATGGTCAAAGTTCCCTCTGTTCCCTTTATTGCTCGACAAGAGATAACTAGATCTGATTACTTTTTATGTTACGCATATTTGTAGACGAACTATGCGCCAGGTTTAGTTCTGAAAGGCCAAAGGGATAGCTAAAAAAAGCTCTATTGAACTGATCAAGTAAATATTTGGAAGACCATAATTCTAACCCCCTAATAGTCGAAGGAACAATCACTTTTTTCCTGAAATGAGCTAGAGGTCTGACCCAACTATATTAGTTGCCAACAACTACCAACACCATCAGTTCTGACAACCCACCAAACATTTAATGGCCGACAAGAGAAAACTTAATTGAAAACAGATTGATTGTTCTGTTAAATTGTTCCAAGGAATGGTTTGTTCTGATTCGACACACAATTAGTATAAGCAGCTTTAAAACAAGTGGAGACAATGGTCTACTTCTGTCCATATCTCTCATCTTATTGATCAACGCCATAACAAAGGAATGAGATATGAAGTCCTGATTTTAAGTACCAACAATACAAAACAAAACAAAATAATTTTCAATTCTAAGATCAAATCGGTTAAATATATTCTTTACTATAGCTGAATTTAGCTAAATAGTCACCTACACACTTGGTATATCAGATGATAGAGCTCAATTCAGTCATCTGTATCTGATCGTCTAAATTATTTACTTCACCAGCCGACAAAGCCCAATTTCAGCTATCTGTATAGTCAAATAAACATGTACTTTACCAGATGATAGATCTCTTTTATAGCCATTTAAACATCTACTTAACCAGAGTTCTCAATTTTAGCTGTCTGTATAGTCATCTAAACATGGTACATAGTATGGTACATTCAAAATGAATGAAGGTGTCAAACTTTCCCCGAGGGATTTCCGTGCCGCTTGTAAAGGAGACATCAAATGGATCTTCGACACCAAATTTACTCTATGTTTGCCAAGTAGATCCTTTCAGTTGATACCAATTTTCAGCCTTTTTGTACTTTTTGAATATTTCAGCCTTTGTAAAACGAGTGAGAAAGAAGTATTAGATCGTCTGTTTAATTCTAGTAACTATGTTTCATCTATTGGTCCATACACTATTACAGGTGAGGTTTGAGTTTTTACGTCTTACTATTCAGAACCACAGAGAGATGAACTGAAATAGAGTTTTACGTTCTTACTGTTCAGCACCTCAGACAGCCAATGAAATAGAGTTTTACGTTCTTACTGTTCAGTACCTCAGACAGCTAATGAAATAGAGTTTTACGTTCTTACTGTTCAGCACCTCAGACAGCCAATGAAATAGAGTTTTACGTTCTTACTCTTCAGTACCTCAGACAGCCAATGAAATAGAGTTTTACGTTCTTACTGTTCAGTACCTCAGACAGCCAATGAAATAGAGTTTAACGTTCTTACTGTTCAGTACCTCAGACAGCCAATGAAATAGAGTTTTACGTTCTTACTGTTCAGTACCTCAGACAGCCAATGAAATAGAGTTTTACGTCTTACTGTTCAGTACCTCAGACAGCTAATGAAATAGAGTTTTACGTTCTTACTGTTCAGTACCTCAGACAGCTAATGAAATAGAGTTTTACGTTCTTACTCTTCAGTACCTCAGACAGCTAATGAAATAGAGTTTTACGTTCTTACTGTTCAGTACCTCAGACAGCCAATGAAATAGAGTTTTACGTTCTTACTCTTCAGTACCCCAGACAGCCAATGAAATAGAGTTTTACGTCGTACTGTTCAGTACCTCAGACAGCCAATGAAATAGAGTTTTACGTCGTACTGTTCAGTACCTCAGACAGCCAATGAAATAGAGTTTTACGTCGTACTGTTCAGTACCTCAGACAGCCAATGAAATAGAGTTTTACGTCTTACTGTTCAGTACCTCAGACAGGCAATGAAATAGAGTTTTACGTCTTACTGTTCAGTACAGTACACATATATGTAAAAGAACAGTTGAAAATTGAATCATGAAACAAGTAGGCAAGGCCAATTCTGAAGTCCTGAAAAAATGTCCTCATTGCACACTGCACGGTATTGCACGTTTCAGTTCACATGAAATTTCAAACCTTACAGAAGATTACTGAATTTTAAACGTTTCTGTTGTAGGTGAAGCGACGAAAGTTGCCATCGATTTTGATATCCTCGCCCTCGGCCCTGTCAACGAACTTGCCATGGTATGTGTATTTTCCTTTATCTATTTTCATTCTAAAATATTTTCATGCCAGTTGTTTCCATAAACTATGACAAATTTAGAAATATTAAAACAGAACCTGAAACAGGTTGTTACTCAGGTACAAGCTGTGCGATCTTCTTCCATTTCAAATTACACTTAAAGCCATTTCTAAATCTTTCAAACGTGATTTGAAGGCTTGGTAGAGATTCAAAATGGTTGTGAACCACGTTCGTCTGTTATTTCCAAGTAAGACCCGTACGTAGTTTCGTCTAGGGTGTACCATGGGGCTTGGTAATGTACATATTGGGAACGGAGACTTAAAAAACTGGAACCAGGTCTGTGATGAACATTGCCAGACCACCGCCCTGTTTTTCGCATTTAAATTATCTCTATTTCTTTCCAGTGATTTGACATTTGCCTATAATGAAATTGAATTGAGAATTGTTTTTGTCTCTACAAAGAAATCTGAGAATTTCTAATTTAGTTGTTTATTGTTCTTCCAAGTGTCCTATTGATTTTTTATATTTATATTTTTTTTTAATGGAATGCGAAGAGAAAGTTTGTTGACAGAACTACGTATGTCTGTTAAGCTAAATAGTCCCTTACTCAGCTTCATTAAGCACGCTTCGAACCTCGGCATTTTTTCTTAGATTGTTCGGATTAATCAACCAGTGGCGGAACCAAAGGGGAGGGAGGCGGGTCAGAGGAGGCAACATGCAATCCTATCAAACAAGCTTGGTTAACAAATGGTGGTCGTGAGTTTTAATATCGGTCAGAAGATGTTACACAATATTTTCGATTACATTTTTGAATAAACAATCATGTACATATATGTACACACAAATTGTACATGTGTAGGCTATGTGATGAACAAATTGTGTTGCTGTGATCAAGTACATGGCCACAAGATGTACAGGCTACCACAGTTGATATTTCACGAATGGATAAGACCATATTTCTGGGGTAACCCTATCCCTGACGAAACACAACTTTATTTCACCGGGGATTTCAGGCTAAGAAACAAGAAATTATTTTTCTGTTTATAGGAGTACACCATGAGCCTGTACTTCAGACAGCAGTGGGATGACCCACGATTACGGTACACTGATTTTGATAGATATATCCAAACCAATTATCGACGTTTTGATTCCTTCTGGGTACCAGACCTATTCTTCCCGGAAGCCAAAAAAGAGGATACACATGACGTCACCATACCAAATATGTATATTAGAATCTTTCCCAATGGAACATTGATTTACAGTCAAAGGTAGGGTTCGTTGATGGTCGGCACATGTCAAGCATATCAAGGCATCTATTGCGATCGATTTGAGTGAGGCCCTCATGTAAAAAGGAATTGAACAGAGGCCCGCTGCGACAACTGGATGATGGTAGATTTCGACCACTGAAGATCCGTTCTTGTGCCTGAAAATAGAGCAACTGGCAGCATTTGTGGGCAACTGCAAGTTTTAGTCGTCAATACGCTCAGATGGTCAAAATCCAGTAATAGATCCAGTTGCTTCCAAGATCCGGACCCACTGTTGAACCGAACCCTGGACTTCATGATACCACCAAACCCGGAGACAAACGTTGAATAACATATTGAATATAAATCTACCTCACATAAATAATAACTCGAAATACTCCTGAGAGTTGCTGACTGAGATACTTTCGTTTTATTTTTTTCAGACTGTCATTAAGAATTGGTTGTATTATGGATCTAAGAAAATTTCCTATAGATAAACAAATCTGCTCTTTAAGAGTCGAGAGTTGTAAGTGATGAATTACTTCTCCATTGTAGCCTTATTTTGGTAACTCAAATATACGTTCCATGAACAGAAGCCATGGCGGTTTTCCCAGATATTCTGATCCTTTGAAATACAAATTACCTCTCCTTAATATATACTACTGTACAAAAAAAAAATAATGCAATAATCTTAATAAATGCTCTGGATAATAACTACAATGAAGACCAATAATATCCAGTACAAGTTTTAAAACAATGAAATGAATGGAGTTTTACGCCCTACTTTTCTGCACCGTGTGGTCTAATGAAGACGGGCAACACCATGCAGAGAGTAATGAGGGAAATTTTGCCAGGAAAGCGGCATTAGTCCCATCTGAACGACTGGACGCTTTTCCACAACAGCCCCTCTTACCTGCTTCACTGACAGGGGGAAACGGGGTTGAAAAATCCGAAGGTATTATCTCGACCTATGAACTCTGGACATTCAGGTTAGCGAGCAAGCGTCTAACTAACTGAGCCACCGCGGCCCCAAGTAGATGTTTAAAGAGGTTAACAGAAAGACATTATCCTAGAAGTACATTATGACAATGACATTTATGTTTCCAAAGCCAGATCTATACACAGATATAAATGTTGATATAATTGGTATTAAGAACACAGGTTGGACGATAAAAACAATAACAACAGTAATTAATTAAATTCTGATCAATATCTGTGATTGACTGACTGACTAATTACCTTGATGGACCATGTTCCACAGAAATAGAGCGTAAATAAATATTTAAACAGAACCGGCCGTGGAATCCGAATATATATTATTCGAATAGTGATTCGAAGCCTATTCGGTTAGAACGGCCTTTACATGGAATAAATAGTTGGTTCTAATCTCGGTCGGTGTGTAAAAGTATATACGGTCGTCATACATGTTCTCCGCTGTGGTCAAGAGATCTTGCCAAGGTCGTTTCCTCGTGAATCTTTAAGGTGGTATTCTTGTTTTAAGGAAAGGGTATATGCAAAACACTCGACCATTCATTTAGACGAATGTGCATTGAATCTACTGTTGTTCCTTAACCCCACCCGTAATAACCTCCCTTTAACGATAGTTATACCACTTGTTAATTTCAGATGGTTACGTCACAAAAGATATGTCATTGGTCTGGTCCTCAAAGCGGAAGTTCAGCAACATTTTACCAACAGCCAATATTCCCGATTTTGAATTGAAATCTATCACTGCGCATGACTGCACAACGAATCTTCAAATGGGTATGTTTTCTTCTCATATTAATTGAAGAAAAAAAAACATTTCTGATAATTCAAATTTCAAAGTACTTTTGGGTAAGCGCAGCAAATCTAGCCCTATCCGTTCCTCGGATGTTATATACCCAAGTGATATCGTCTCATCTGTATATCACGTCTACGGCTAGATTTGTCAAGGAATGCATTTAGATAGAAACTTTGAGTTTTATCTGATATTGCCATGACTAGACATGCTTTGAAATTCCACCTTCTTTTTCCTTATTGCAGGAAGCTTCCCGTGCCTTTATGCTGATTTAGAATTACAACGACAAATAGGATTCTATTTAACGCAGACCTATATACCAACCATCCTGATAGTTGTGCTCTCTTGGGTCTCTTTCTGGATCGATCCTCACGCCATTCCCGCCAGAATCTCAGTTGGGTTGTTGACAGTTCTCACCATAACAACACAGAGTTCCGGTGCACGCTCTGAGCTTCCCAGAGTTCCATACACTAAATCTATAGACGTATGGATGTCCGCCTGTTTAGTCTTTGTGTTTGCAGCGTATGTGGAATATGCCTTTGTGACAGTGTTATCCAGGCGCTTTAGAAAGTTTTCTCCTAACAGTCCACGCTCGCCAAGCACCCAATCTATTGTAAGTATGGACCTGATTGGTTGCTAGCTTGATACCAGGTTCTTTTTACTATGATGCATAAATCCTGCTGTCTTTGAAGTCAGTTAGATTTTTTATCGCAACGATTTTGGTATACATCAAACGATAACCACCTTTATTGCAGACATCAAACGATAAATTTATATATTTATATCTTTAATTTTTAAAGATGGGTTCCCTTATTTTGAAATGCTGATATTCATATGAATAGAAAGTAGACGTTCTCTAATGACTTGGCCAGTTTATCTTACATATCCATAATTAATTCATGATTAGCTAAACTAGAAGAGAATTACCAACATAATTCTAATGAGTGACCGATCAAGAAAGGTCAAAAAGGCTTTTTTTGTTTATCCAGACAGTACATACATGGACATTTATGATTGGTTAAAACTCTTAATTATATACAATAAGAACATAATGATATGATTAAGAATACATGATAATTCATTAGAAACACCAATTAATCAAATAGTTCCATTAATTTGACACTAAAAAATAAGGAAACCCATCTTTAAATAAAATTTCATTTGCTTTATTTGATGTAGTTACGGCCCTGGTAACATATATACAACATATTGTATTCACATATCTGTATTGTAGTCAGAATTCGAATTCCTGTAAAAAAAAGACCTTATCATTTGAGACCATCACCGAAATGTGTGCTCCTGAGGTAGACAGTTGATCTCCCCCTTAACCGTTCTCCGTTCTTGAAGCAAAAACCATAATGACACAGTTCCGAGTGCATTATTGCAACAAAATACTTGCATTCTTCGTTTTACCAACTGGTGACTAAGTTGGTCAGAATAAAATTCTCCGGCAATATTTATCAGTTTCCTTCTAAAGAAAAGTACAACAAAAACATTCTGTTATATTGACGTCATCCAATAACCCCACATATTCACCAATTTCTTTTCGTTGTATGAAATTTAATAATCAATAATGCCAATTTTCGCGCCATTATTTATTTCCGGTTGGTCGGTTTGGATTTTAATTAACCTTAGAAATGTTCCTTCTTCTTTGAGTATTAAGTATCATGATTAAATCATATTAAAATCTATTTCAGTTTTCAACGTCAGAATCTTTCAGTCCAAATTATGATGAAATGTCGTCAGGAGTTCTCTATAAAGACAGGCCGAGGACAGACCAAAAGCGGGCGTCTAAAGAGGGAGTAACAACAAACCAAGATATGGGACGGATGGTTGATAAGATTTCCCGATATTTTTTCCCACTCGCTTTTTTAGTTTTCAATGCATTCTATTGGATTTATTACGTGGAACTTGCTTGATAATAGATCAAATTTTAACTAGTTCACAGTTCAAAATACATGTGCTATTTCTATTGTGATGAATCCATTTTATAAAAATACGCATGAATTAATCTAAGCAGGCTCCTTATACTTTTATTTCGTAACTAGTTCACGATACAAAATACACGTGCAATTTCTATAATGCTGAATGAGAAGTCCCATCATTCATGTCTATATAAATTAACTGGCTATCCGTACAAAGTACACGTGCATTAATCTAAACAGGCTATCAATTTTCCATGTCTTACAAAACTAGTTCACTCGACGAAAAGCTCGTGTGATTTCTATAGTGCTGAATTAGTCCCATCGCCCCCACCCCTCTCCCAATCCCTCTTGTCTTTATATTGTAACTGGTTCAAAGTACAAAATGCACGTGCATTAGTGTAAGTAGGCTCCTTATATTGCCCATTGTATACAAAATCAGTTCAGAATACTAGTTGCACGTGCATATTGTATGATGGCCTGAATCAACCTTACTATTAGTCAATGTAATTTGATGCATTGGACCTCTTATGATTGAGTGAGATTAAAGTGTTTACCGTTGCGTACTCGCCCAAGTTTGCTATGTAATCATGTGTATGTGAATTCAAAATGAATGGAGTTTACGTCCTACTTTTCTATGTAGATTTGAAGGCACGAGACAAAAAAATTTTTGTACAATATATGATTTTTAATAAATGTATATCTCTTTATATCTGTATCTTTGGTTAATCTACTGCTGCTACTGCCACTGCTATTTTTGGTCTAAGCACGAATTGCTTGTTAGTTGGACTCAATATTTGGTATGATCAAGGCGTGTCCTATGCCCACCCTGGCCACGTTTTTACTAAACCGACAGAGAGCTCCCAGTCTAACTTTCAACCCCACCCCTTTAAAGTTTTTATCATTTGACAAGAATGAAAAGAATTTGAAAAGAATTGGTCGCTCGGCGGCTCTTAATCAAACTTTCTCTTGTATAATGCTCGAAAACTACCAACAAACTTGATAAGCTATGTAGACTTTCTGAAAGGGATGGTACGTCGACAAACTCAGACTCATCGTGACATCAGGTGAATGTTGAATTAAAAAATTGCGACCTTTTCAGATGACTAATTCCATCGATTGAATTAATTCATTAGAAAATAATCTAGACGTTAATTTGTTATAATTACAAATTACATGTTACATGTCACATGGTACATGTCTCCACCTGATTGATTGGGTATTGATTTCTCATCGATAATTCATTCTATTACAGATCGATGTCTAAATCACACAACTTCAAATAGAATTCCACACGAATTAATCAGAAAACTAAGGCTCTGTTTATGCAACTTCAAATGCTATCTATTGCTGCTTGCCCGAACGGTTAATATCTGGGGGCAATGAGACGCTTTGTAGTCTAGTAAACGTTTTGTTGGACAAAGTTGTTCTATTGACAGTCAGGCTATAGTCTCCGACATGAATAAAATAGCAGAATGAAAAGGAGAAAATCAGGAAATAGTAAGGATTTATATGGGTAAGGCGGGTTATGCAGCCGAGTATACGTATACTTCAAGTATATTGAAATCGGTAATAGAAAGAAAAAGGTTGAAAACCCATGCCTTAGTAATAGCAAGGCGGTGTATATTATATCTGGCGGGGTTATTGTATTTTACACCTGATAAAAGAATATTAAATCCGTTATCTTAACTATTACAATATGACTGTTTTTATTACTATAGATAAATCATACACTGAATAAAGCCCCTGTCACACAATAAAGTCAGCAATGGAGTCCGACTGAATTCAAGATGTCGGTTACTCCAGTCACCTTCCGTGATCTGTTTAAATTGTTGTGCCCCTCGATCTCTGGCTCAATTCTTATGTGAAAGGGGCTTGATACAATATTTCAACACCAACATGTTATTGGTCCGTGCATTATCTTGTGTTATGCAAATGGAGATTCATATAAAAATTTAGTCGAACAATAATTGGGCCGGATATTACATGTATTTAGTTTTATGTGAATGGGGTTTGATACAAGAAACGGGCGTTAAATTGGAATACCAACCTATTGTGGGCGTGTGTGAATGGAGCTTGATACACAATATTATTACCCACATGATATCGGGAAGTACATTATCGTATGTGGTGTAACCGGGGCTTGAGACAATATTTGAAGACAGAAAGTATAATAATAAAGAGACATGATTAAGCTTGTAAAAATCCACCTGTTTACAAGACGTTTACAATAGAGTAATCTCGGGTCAAAGTTCAAGCCAGATTAAGAAAAGAGGTCAACTTGGATTAATCTTAGAAACTGTTTTTATTTTAAGGACATATTGAAGGTACAGTTTTATCGTTTAATAATTTACTTTGACGACCTTGAATTGAACAGTCTACGAATAGCAATGTATCAAAAACTTAGGATAACAAAAATGTTGAGTTGGTCGGATGGAACAATATGTATTGCCTCCGTTTCTCAAAATATCTTACGATCGATTTGTATCGTTAGTCCAATTTCAAAGTATATTTTCACATTTTTAATTGATTTAGATCGTACGATTGTTTTAAGAATGTAGTAGTCTGCGACTTCGGTTCAGGCTACTGGACACGGACGTTAAACTATCAGCTAACCAACGTTCCAACCCTTTTTGAGGAACGGTTACTATAGCCGTTTGTTGCAGCCTTTCCACGTTAGCAAGTGTAGTCTCATATCGCTACCGTGGTAAAATGCTATCTACAGGTTCCAAAAGGTTACCCTTACCGTATAGATATTACCGATATGAGGCCTGTTATTTTTCATATGAGAATGTCCATAATGGCCTCAAAATTTAATCTATTGTCCTATGGACTTTTTTTTAAATTTCGAACAAGACGATAGCTTTTCTTAATTTTTGGAAATCTTCGAATTAATTTTGTGATATTTTGCAAAGTTTTCCAAGTTGTTTTATTTCATTTTTTTTAAATCAAGCTTTTATAGTGTTTTATTTCATTTGACGGTGTTTGATGTAGGGTTATATTTTGAATGGATTAGGTTTCTGTTTTGACAACAGACAAAGTTAATGAATAGAATCGTGTTTATCAATTATGATATAGACATTACGAAATTTAATATCGGTCTTTTTTTAATATTGGTATGGTATAACATGTTTTTGAAGCATTATGATAGCCATTAAAGTTAAGCTTAATTACAGCTATCCGTATTACTTTTCATAATTAAAATCCTATATCAGGCTCTCCTGCAATTCTATCCAATCATGGAGTGGCATAACAAACTTTAAGGTATGTCGTCTAAATATTTACTTAATCATCTGATAGAGCTCAATTTCAGCTATCTATATAGTCTGCTAAATATTTACTTTACCAGATGATAGAACTCAATTTCAGCTATCTGTATAGTCATCTAAATATTTACTTTACCAGCTGATAGAGCTCAATTTCAGCTATCTGTATAGTCATCTAAATATTTACTTTATCAGCTGATAGAACTCAATTTCAGCTATATAGTGGTCTATTTATTTACTTTACCAGGTGATCGAGTTAAATTTCAGCTATCTGTATAGTGGTCTTAATATTTACTACCAACTGATAGAGCTCAATTTCAGCTATCTTTATAGTCGTCTAAATATTTACATTAATAGCTGATAGAGCTCAAGTACAGCCATCTGCATCACCTCTTAGAATTAAAATCCGATCTTCATTACCTATAGGTCATTACTGACATTCTCACGTGCTTATATACTTATGACGTCACAATATCGATCATGTCTATGTCTATTTAGTTGCCTATAGTATTCAAAAACACTCATTCATTCATCCTTAATATTTTAGTGGAATTCATTCACCCGGTTATAATTAAGGAACGTCGATGGTAAGCTGAGAGCTTATATCTGTGACGTCATAATGGCGGCAGTGGGTTCAGAGAACCTAATGTTTGATCAGAGTTTTATTAGAGTTAAATATGGCCGTGAGTATATTATTATATAGTGTGTTATTTTGTATATTACTAGTTAGTATTTCTTTATTTCAGCTTGATTAGTTATAGTCTTATTAACTGTATAATATACATACCAAATAAACATTATAAGCTATAGGGACTCTCTGAAGGGGATGTCGAGTTGGCTTTCCAAGTTGCAAAGTGACATCAGATGTCTGGAAAAAGGGAGCATGTCCTGCATATTTAACAGCACTCACCACAATCCTGTTATAGTCAGATTCTAGTTTTCGGACATATTCAAAGAAAGATAGAAGAGCAGGTCAGTCGTTAGCCAAGTGGGGTGTCAAAGCTGCAATTTTTGAGGGGCGAGAGTTCCATTATTTGACTCTAAAGGTCAACATACAGTCTGTTCCTTTCAGAACAGGACGTTTTCACCTCGTTGGTACAAATTGGTAAGAAGGGGAAACCTCCTTTCAGATGGGTCAGATATTAGTTTATTATAATATTTTGGTATGTATTGTATTCTAGATGATAAAGAAGCTATATTCAACCCCTGGTGTTCAACCTACACATTATTAGAATATATCAGAAGAACGTGTGATTGCGACCAGGAATGTAAGTCAATATTTATATCCAACTGTTCCGCCATTCTATCTAAATATCCGTTCCGAATGAACTAGTTGGAGCTAATGTTCCCGTGAAAGTTCTGCTAGAAGCTCAGATTTACGGAAAATACCGAAGATTGTCGAATGCTGTCCTATGATGTACAAGTCTCGCCGTAATTTTTATATCACGCAAAACTAAATATTTTATCAAACAGATGGCATAGTATGTTTATAACCATAAAACTCATTTTAAAGCGCAGCGCATTGTATGCCTTTTGACGTAAAGTTAATCTTTATATTTCCAGATGTAATAGATCTAGTAGATCAGCAAGGTCACGTGAGAAATCTATCTACCGGGACGGAGGAATATGCTAATGAGCTGGTATCAGCACGAGAAACTTATGTTTTAGTAAGAATTGAAAGTAGGTACCAATTAATATTGTAATCTAGTCCACAAATTCATCATATATTGGATACATCCATTTCCAGAGTTAAAGTAAGCTCAACGAGAAATCTGTTCCCATCGTCGTTTAAACTACGCCCTCTTATTGGATGTGCCGTAGAAACGTTCCCAGTTTGTTGCAATTTGTATACGATAAGCTTAAAATATAGTATAAAGTGTAGTTCATTCGCTCACTCAATAATAGTCACTCATTGCACACTGCCTAGCCTTTTCTTCGGTAGCCTTATTCGATGCTTGAATTATTGCAATGTGTTTCAGGGGACGGTGAAATGGGATCTAATAAATATATACCATTACTGGATAATCTAGACAAGTTTAATCCCGAATTACTAGGTAAATATAGACACAATCTAGTTCATCCGCACTACCCTTAAACCGGAAGTGTGGACATTGGACCTAAGTTTATCAAATTGGAAGAATCCAATTTATATCCACTATGTCTATAAGCGGATAGATCTTTATTTAAACTATCCGTCTTCTACAATTGATGAAGACGTATCGCCAATTACACGTTTCTAACGTTTATGTCATACGATATACTGACACTGTTTCTGGATTTGTTTTGATTGTGCATTTTCACATTCTTGATAAAACTTCCATTTTTTCAGTAAAGCTGAATAATTTATCACGTCCATCAACTAGAAAGAAAGATAAATACAAGAAAAACCAACGTGCGACTAAAGGCTCGCCTGGTACGAAACGTCCCAGCAGTTCGGAACAAAGAGCCAAACAAAAATAAACTGTTAAACCGACAGCAAGTGTCGGACATATAGAATTCTGTTGATCTTTTGTACGCATTAGTTTCCAATGGTACGCAGTGGCGTATTATGATTTTTAGACTTTTTTTGTCCCAAATATGTGTCAGAATGCACCAAAGCAATTTTCGTTTGGAGAGCCTTTCCGGACCCTCCATGCCAGGATTGTGCTTCCGTATTTGAATCTTAATCCCTACAGGTTGTCCCCCATTAAGTCATTCTGTCCTCTATTTGTACCCTAGTTGCAACAGGAAGGCGCCGCCACTGATACTACGGCAGCGATCATCGTCTTTTCAACATGTTCAAAATTATTTTATAATTCTATCGTATTCCAGTTAGCATATTATCCATGATGTTACGTGATCCTCAAACCGACCAATTATTATGCTGCCATCAAGCCAGTTTTCTTTTGTACTTATGAACACATGTACTAAACGATGAATACGGGCCATACTTCATGTACTGAAAACGTTGTTTTGATTCGTTAAAATTGGTTGCTTTATACAAATCTATTTAGATAAATCAACTATAATCCCATCTATTTATTCATGATGGGGCGTGGCCTAACGTTGATGTGCAACGGCCTTCATTATGTAACATTTTATAATTAAAGAATTAATCAATACCTTCAAAAATTGTCATGATATACGTTCCAAAAGTGGCTGGTAATACAACAAGACAAGTGCATTCTTCACTCTTAGTCGGAATATCTTTTAGTGAACACGGTATTTGATTGGTTGAATAATCTAACGACCTACATAGAACGATGTCGTCAGATTATGGATCACTAGGAAACATGCGATCAATCACAGATGCGCATAAGTGCGCAAAATCTATTGGCAGAGGAACTTGACACTGATAGTGATCCGGAAACAGATACTGACACTGGTGCAAGTGCAAATGAAACTGCAATTACCCTAGATGAAATTGATACTTTTTGCGATAGAGTTAAAATGTATGCAGAGGAAAATTCAGAGTTAAGGATGCTGCATACAATTATGGATTTAAAAGATATAACAGTAAATAAAAAAATAATAGAAGTAACCAACAAACTTCTATACAAGATTTCTTAATTAAAAAAATGTAAATAATATCTATAATGTTATATTATTATTTTGTATATTGTATAATTCTAATACCTAGAATGAAATAAAGGAAATGAATGAAATTCAATTCTCTCATAAGAGACCACCTTCAGTAAGAGACCGTTTTTGAATTTTCCCCTGCGTGGTCTCTTAATACAGTTTCTACTGTAGATCAATTATCTTAGTTGCGTAATAAAAAGGTTGACAGTTCCTTTTGAAAAAAAAAAATAAGAAAATGCAGAAATAATTGTTTAATCCTAGAGATAAAATCAACTATTTTTAGAATTGGATGCAATCGGAAGTGCAGTAACGATATTTCTTCATAAATCAGAAGATAAGTTATCTTTCATTTGATAAACCGGAAATCAACTCTTGAATCAAGCAATAATCTAATTAAAATCAATGACACTTTTGAATTATTTGGTATAAATACATTCTGGTGCATTAGTGTATCAATTTTGGAAGACGATAGCTTCATTATTGTATGGCATTTGACCTGTGTTCTATTCTACGAATAGCTTGGAAGCACTTATCGTTAGTGATAATGGTTTCAATTTCTGGTAGTGTTACAGGGCCGTATTAGAATACCATACAAAGGACTGATCATTAATGTGTCACAGCAAAATATATCGACACGTTGTATATTATCTATGAACCTCAAGTGAGACCCAATACAGGTTAGTAAAACATAGTATGTTCATTAGCATTAAATTACCGCTCTCGATATCAGCTGTTTTATTTAATATTTCGACTAAAATTGGATTTATAAAAATTTCATAAGTAGCCTCAATGGTCAAATGAAATTGTAGAGAATTACCTCCCTTGAAGTAAAACGTACATAAAACGTTACTATTTCAAGTATATATAAAAATGTGTCAGGATGCATCAATTCTATTTATTAAATATTTTTTTGGGGTGAGAAATCTCTCAGACGCTTCATGGGAGGTTTAAAGGTTTTCAATCTTGACAGCTGTCCCCATTAAGTCTGTCTGTCCCCTATTTGTCTTAGAGACTTATATATGACACTCCCTTTTATAACATAGTTATCATTCTATCTTTAATAAAAGATTGATTTCATCTAGATGAACTATAGACTAGAAGATTAATGTCACAATATTTACAGAATGTCAGGAACTGTCTATCTGGCTACTGCCATTTATGAATGAAAATACCAAAATAACTTTGTGTACTATGTGGACTCCATTTAGGGATACTCAATTGATAAATCCTATTTTTGAATTGCTGGAACCACAGACGTCTGATTGAAAATTGAAACGACGCAAACTGATGCTATCTCTGTTCCCGATATACATATAATATCTAGGAAACCATTTTACAATCCCTTTAATAGATTGTGCCTTTGAAATCATGATCGGACTAATCAATCGGTTATCTCCCTGTAATATTTCAGATACATCTACTAATAAGGCGAATATTTACTGTAGTCGTAGTATTGGATATAGAATTTAGTCTCGTTACAATGAATTCTCGATAACACTGTACCAATATGGCTATACTTCGTTTACTGGGATATGTTATATTCCTTGGCTTATTGAGGTAAGTCGAACGTCTATATCACCCACAATCTCTATTATAATACTAAGGCGTAAAACTTCATTTGATATTTCTTCTATTTGGTGGGTTCGTCGAAGATTTTTGCAAAATATTTTAATACCGGTGTGTGTTTAGGTCTAGGATTTGAAAGTAATAAAATAGAAATTTGCGGTTCACTAAAATAACATTCCCAGTTTGACCAAACCGGAAGTAATATTAGTATAGTAGTGAACTCCTCAAACGAGAAGTAACAGCAGGTTTTTTCTACACATTTGAAAACATTTTTTCACATACATAATTCCTATTCTCGTCGGTTTAGTTGTTCGGATGGGACAATAAACCGAGGCCCCGTGTGCTGTGCACGTTAAAGATCTCTCGAGAAGTTGGAAATCGAAAATGAGAAGGCTAATGCCGCTGTCCTGGCAAAATTTCCCCCATTACACCCTGCATGGCGTTGCCCGTCTTCATTAGCCCACATGGTGCAGAAAAGTAGGACGTAAAACTCCATTCATTTTCTCGTCGGTTTATCTAAAATTGTAGTTCCCATTTAACTAGCTTTAGACATTTAGACTGGCCTAAATTAAAAACGTATATGCCATACCCATCCCTGTATGCATAATAACATTCAATGATAGAAGAAGATATTAGTTAGTTTTATGTTGGTTCAATTCGATTAAAGTCCGAACAAGAGAAAGTTCTTTCACCACCACTAATTTCGGTTTTATTTTAGGACAAGTGTTGGGGTATCTGAGGAAGATATTTTAAACGGTTTGTTTAACAAGACTAATTATGACCGAACAGTGGGACCTTATACCATAACAGGTAATCCACCTAGATTTGTTTGTCCATAAATCTTAATTTAATGATTATTTTTATGCGAATTATAAAAAAAGATGCAAAATAGTAATGAAAGTGTCAGGGACTTTGTCTCATCAACATATTAAGTTTGTAAGATTCTCTCATTAAAAAGTTTAGGCTAATGCCACAATAATTGCAAAATTTCTTTTATACACACTGCATGGCGTTGAACGTCTGCATTAGGCTAACTATTGAAAATAGTGAACGATGGCTTCCCGGAAGTCGAATATGAGCAGCTTCAAGTGTTTTTGTCTGATAAAGCAAGAAAAAACACGATACATTTAAATTCTTGTCTTATTTGTATATTTACTGTTATAGATGAACCAACACTAGTTTCTATAGATTTTGTAATCCTTGGATTGGGACCAATTGATGCTCTGTCTATGGTAAATATTCGTTATTATTGTACTAATTTTTTCATGAATAAATCATGTTACCGACAAAGAGACACTTTAACCTGTCTGGTCGTTCACAACATTTAATTCACAATGGACTCGGCGCTCTGATTCCTTTCGCAAATATCAGACGCCGGTATGCGTGTTACAGGTGAGTGGGCTGACGTCGACGTAAGCGCAACGACGACCGAAAAATGGTAGTTGCCGCCATTTTGCGTGAGTTGAACGTGTTGTTCTTTCGTAATCGTAACTAAGACAAAAACTACAATACAAAATATCTTCTCGATTTCTTAGTCGCTTTTTATTCACGATCGAAACTAATTTGTTCATTCCAACCACATCTTGTAGTAGGAAGTTAAATTTGTACGAGCAGTTTTCACAAGGACCTTCTTCAGTTCACCATATTAGAAAAAGACTTGATAGGTCAAGGTTATCCAAATATAAAAAACAAACTGTTTTTCCTCTGGCGTTGAATAACCGAGTCCAGGTCTGTTCAACCTTTCTCTAGAAACCTCTATCTCTCTCAAGATTATAATCGTAATTAATTAAATATTTTTTGTCGCTTGGTTTGACATTTTCATAATTCCATAAGATATACTTGTCCAAAGCAGTCTACATTCCGGATTCCCAACCTATTAGACTCCTAATATCCGCTAACGCTGTATCCTGTATAGCTTGTTACGTTTCATCGACCGAGGCAAAATGAACTCGAAAAAGCGATCAAAACTAGTGTTGCATTAAAGTCGCATTCTTGGCATATTCTACATATAGTCTAATGATTATTTAAGGTATAGATTCCCATGCCAAAGATGCCTGAATTGACAAGGGTGGCATTATCTATTTAGCATTGGCATTAAAGGAACATTGTGACATAATATACGTGTTAAAGCTATCCTTAAAGCTACCATTCTCTGATAAATCCAAAATAGTAAAAAAATTTAAAAAAACAGTGATCGACTATTGACTAATCCTTACAAGCCATATGTGGGACGGTACATTGACAATCTCAGTCGAGGCAAAATTTCAAGAATAGTTAGCAAAACCATTTTTTTCCTCTGTGCATTGAGCTTTCATCGCACTCTCTGGTGTAACTCTTCTTTATTGGAGTACAGTATGCACTTCAGACAACAATGAATTGATCCACGTCTCTTCCATTGTAGCTTGTATTACACAATAAGTGAAAGCTATTCCATTGACAAGGATACCACAATTGCCAATAACATTTTGACTCTTCTCTGTATGAGTACAGTATGAGTATGTACTTCAGACAACAAAAGCTATTCGATGGACAAGGATACCATATATACACTCTTTATCAAATGATATTTTGACTCTTCTTTGTAGGAATACAGTATGAGTATGTACTTCAGACAACAATGGATTGATCCACGACTCTCTCATTATAACTGGAACCGGTCCATCCAAACCAACTATAGGCGATTAGACAATATTTGGGTTCCGGATGTCTTCTTTCCGTCAGCCAAAACTGAAAAGCGGCACATCATCACCATACCTAATATGTTTATCAGGATCGAACCCGATGGCACCGTTATTTATAGTCAAAGGTATTTCATAATTCATCTTATCTGGTCCCCGATTGTGTTATCGTTACACTAGCAACATGGTCGGCCTAAATACTGCGGTCAGCTTCCGGCCTACGTGATTTAATAAATAAGGCAAGACTAGTGCATTATGGGATTTGATTTCGTCCAATCAATTTAAAGGTTACGTGTGGTTTCGTGCAAACAATGCCAAGGTGGCAATAGCACCAACCAGTTCCTCCCGGACAAAGCTTTAGCTTGTAGCACTTCACAATCACCCAAATGACCTTCTGATAATCAAATAAGGGAGATAACCAACTTTTTAGAAAACGGTGGACTTGCATACACTTCAGATTATCTGTGACCATAGCCTGTTTGATGGATCTCCGGAAGTTTCCATTGGATGCCCAGACTTGTTCTTTTAGGATGGAAAGCTGTAAGTTTCGTTTATACATTTTACGCCATCTTGTAAAAAATATTACAATCTCAAATTAATAAGCAATGGACTTCATCTAAGTTTACGCCACAGTGGGGCATGTAAATCAGGCCCGAAAGTGACACGGCAACTGAATCCATTGAAGGATTAGTACATTTAAACTCACTCAGGGTTTATTTCCAGATGGCTATACAACGAACGAGATGTACCTCGAATGGTCCAAAGATAGAAAATTTACAAATGTCCTGCCGTCTACCAACATTCCAGATTTTGAAATGACAGCTATATCTGCTCACGATTGTACCGCCAATCTACAGACCGGTAAGGTTTAATCTCCCCTTTATTAACGTATGACCCCGTTTCGACATTAAATCGCCCCTAGTACTCCATTGCCAACCATGAACAAATCAAAATAGGAGAATACTTCGACCAAACGTTTTGAAATTATTTGCACACAGAACGACTGATATCACAAAACGCAGTGTCAATTTGTAGGAAGCCTCTTACGCCTATATAGTGCGGTATTTTAAATGACTCCTTCATTTTCTGTCCAATTCAGGTAACTTCCCCTGTTTGTACGCCAACTTACAGATGCAGAGACAGATTGGTTTTTATCTGACACAAACCTACGTACCTAGCATTCTGATAGTCGTGCTCTCATGGGTCTCTTTCTGGATTGACCCAACCGCCATTCCCGCCAGAATCTCAGTCGGTTTGTTGACAGTTCTCACCATAACAACACAGAGTTCCGGTGCACGTTCTCAACTACCCAGAGTTCCCTACACTAAGTCTATAGACGTCTGGATGTCCGCCTGTTTAGTCTTTGTCTTCGCGGCGTATGTTGAATATGCCTTTGTGACGGTGTTATCCAGACGACATATCAAGAAGAAGGCAGATGCATGTAAAGATAAAGCTACCCACCGCGAGTCAATCGTAAGTAACATGCTACACGACGTATAAGCACTGCAATAAATGTCGGTATTCAGAGTGGGTACGCCCACCTTTGTGAAACACCTGATGCCAATATTCGACAGGGTTCATCAACGTGACGAAGAGTAGGCTACACATACCTAATATTTTTTTTTGGAGAGCCATATGCCTACATGCAGCATGCACATTTACTTGATTCATTCTGCTTGTAACATCTGGAATGATACTTGGTGGTAATAAAATCAGGGCTTGTTTTCTTACCACTATGGTTTCTGAATTTCAACTTATCTAAATGGACTGCATCTTGAAATGTAAGTCAGCCACTTATCAACCAAGCTAAGCAGCCGTTTCCCGCGTTCATAAATGTTGTTAAAGGGAGATAATTTACATCAGACAAAGTGACTTCAGGTCACACTAGTTGCATTTTTTTTAATAAGAGCATAAACTCGCTGGGCAATCCACTCCAGCTAAGAATGATAAATCATCATGATTTTATACACGTTGTAGTATTGGTAATGTCAATATTTCTTTTCGTTGAAGGTTGAATTTTGTACGTTTGTACACAAAAAATAAATAAAACGAAATATTCAGGGCAGTATTTCACTCAGATAGTGTCTTTGTCCATTGTTTAAATTTTTACTTTTTATTTTCAGTATTCGTCGATATCATCTTCAATGAGTAAACTAGGCGATGAAATTCCAATCCATCAAAATAAAACAACCGATAAGAAGACGGACCAGACGATACCGACGCCATCTTGTGTGGAGTCTCGAGATCTAGGCAGATTTGTTGATAAATTGGCGCGGTATTTTTTCCCGATTTCGTTCAGTTTTTTCAATATCTGCTATTGGGTATATTATGTAGATTTTTCATAATCAATGTATCTTTCGCATTTTTTGGCAAATCATCGGTGAGGAGACTCATTATAACATGCCCTCCCGTATGCCGTTTATCAAAGAGTAGACCCATGCGTCAGATTTGGCGGAATTATGATTGTGCCTTTTATTGAAAACTTAGCTTTATGTGTGTAGATTTTGATTAACTAAAGGTTTAATTTGATGTATTTGGACATCGATTGTCAGCTTTCGTGCAAGTCATCGATGGAATGTTTGTGCCTTAAAGCTCTTGTAGGCTTGATGATGGTTCAACTGTTTATAACTTTATCTGCTTCACCACTTTCAAATATTCCTACATCGAAAAAATGGTAATCTGGGGTTCTTATCTCGGTTATCAATGACAAGCAGTTTTACCAAGGATCAGCTGGTAGAAAGGATCCCTGAGAAATGGTTGTTTATTTTTGTTTTTCTTGCAGAATGCGAATCAGTAATCTGTCCATTACTACTGTACTGAGCGAGATCAGACTTAAATTATAACAAAGCGAAAAGTTAAGACTAAAATCAAATATTGAAAAAGTAATGAAAATCTCACTTAAAATAATTACAATACTTGTTAAATAGACTTGTCTTATCTTTAAATCTTACTTTTATGTCGGTAAATCCTGTCACATATTTTTAAAAAATAATATATTGGCTTTAATAGATGTTTTTATACCGTTTGCAGATCGCCAGTTATATGACTATACAAATCACAAACACAAGATCATAGAACAAGCACACGTCTTTAATGAAATTAAGTACGTAACGTTTCAACACAATTTACACGTAACGTTATCAGATGAAAAAAGAAATTTCGAGTCGTTCAAGTCTAATTTAGGATCATGGAATTATAGGCTCTATTTTTCTATTATGGACAAAACTTTGCTCTTAGGCTATGGGAATATTTGTTTGTACATGTATTGGTATTTTGCATTAAAAATTGCAGTAATAATGTAATATATAATAACCTCAATATCTTATCAAGTTCCGTCATCAGCGTCATGACCTCTTCTCAACCTGAACACAAAACAAGAAGTGTTCCTCTTTTGTCGCCTTTCACATTTCAATTATTCCGCCATTGTCCTGCATATTTACCGGCTCCTGATGTTTCAACTTTGCTATAGAGCCATCTGGTGGGATTCCAAAATTGCGTTAAAACTGTATGGTAAGCACCAAGAACTAGGTCAACTTGACATTAAACCTTATTTTAAACATTCATGGTGTCAAGAGCACAATGTCCTTAGCAACCAGAAGAACTCATTTCGAGAATGTTCATTTACTTCAGTGCTATTTTGTAAGAAATTCCTTCAGCAAATTCATAATGGCAGAAGCCAATGAAATCCACATTCAGACCTCTCTTACCCTATTAACCGACTTGTGATTGGCTAATTAATAATTGATCAGATGTCATTTCCGGTTTAGCAGAAGTCACGGAAATCAAAGATGGCGGCTATATGATGTGAATATGATTTGAAGATGCAGTGATTTAATTATATTATGTGACTTGGAATTGAAGTGTGTCTCGCGAACATGATCTTTGTACTTCAAGACAAAACAGGGCGAATGTTAATAGTTCAACAGAACCTTTGGGAAATAAAATAGGGCTGCTTTGTCGCATTTGATCGGAAAAGTAAAACAGTACCAAGCAGTGTGCAATGAGGGAAATTTACCGAGCTATCTGTCGAACGACTAGAAGCTTGATCCATGTCGTTCCCTCCTACCTGCATCACTAACAGATGGAAACTGAGTTAAAAATTCCGACGGTATTATCTCGTCCAAGGACCTTCGGGTTAAAGAGCAGGCGTCTAGCTCCCCGAGTCATCACGCCTCACGTCTAAATTGAGCTACAGTGGCTCTCTTAAAGCTCACAGTTACTTCAGCAGTTGTAATCGAATACTATGAGTTAACCAATTACTATAACACGATCATTAAATGTTAACCCAATTTGTGCCAGATCCGATAAGAATTGTATGATTGAATATGGTTGTTGTTCTATCACATCATTTCCTCATTATATTAACCCGAAGGAGAAGGGGTTAAATTTTGTATTACATTAACCTATTACTGGCCACCGTATTCGTACAGGAAAATCGGTAAGCGCTGTCTTAGTTGGACAATTGCAGAACATTTCATATGAGAACCGTATTCACAAAATAAAGGCTGTCTCGAGTCCCCCCCCCCCCCCCCCCCTCCCTCTCCCTTCCACACGCACTCAAATTAATCATCATATTAAGAGAAATGTTGCCTGTGACCCAACTGGACCCAACTCGCCTCCCAAAACCTAACTATTCATAGAAACGCCACTGCGGTTCTCAATTAGTCGTTCAGTGGTCCGAAATTTTTACCGCCTCCATCTTCCAATCAGTCAATCAAATATAATTATAATTTTTAATTGACATATTCCAGAATTAACAAGGCTCCCTGGTTTGATTTCTAGTCTAAATTTGTCACAAAGACAGGTAGCATGTCGGTCGTACATTTGAGGAATATTCGATTGAGGCATGGGATCATTCCAGACCAGGAACTCATAATATTGATTGGTTCGTTATAGAAAATTGACCAACCAATGTCTCGGAATTCGTTCTACTTTCGCTTTAACTATATATTAGTATGAATCAAACAGACCATCAATTGTAACATTAGAGATAATGAGCATGTACTATACGGAATTCAACTGTTTGACTCCATCAAACAGGTTCGTTATTTAATTGATTCAGTTTTACTCTGATTTCATTAAGTGGTCCGTTTCAGATATCTTTTAGTTTTTGTGGAAGAATCACAGACGTTGGAATGAAAATTGGAATGGTGCAATTTGAAGCTATTAGTGTCCCCGAGATACACATAATTTTTTTTTTAGAAAACCTCTTTACAATCCCTTTAAAGGTTAAACCAGCTGATGGATATGTCCAGGACCGTAGCCAGACTTGATTGTTCGGAGTGCCAAGTAATATATTCGGAGGGGCAATGATGTATAGTTACAGGAATGGGATTGGTCGTTTTTTTTGGGGGGGGGGGGGCTGGAAACGTCCTTAGTAGCCTATGCATCAACGTTGACAACTTCCACGGGATGTACTCGCTATTTCGAAAACGGATCTCTCTCATCTAGTAGAAAAAGGGTAAAGGTGTTAATTGGATCCAGTCAACCGGTAATAGAACTTAGTAGGGTGGCTTCTAATTCTTCATCATCTTCAATTCCATCTGACCACGTGCTAACAATCTTCAAGAAATCATTTAATTTGATACAATAGATGTTTCCGTCTTGTTAACTTGACTACTTGTCATATAAATAGCCACTATCATCAAGACGGAACTAACCATTAGAAAAAATATTATTTTAAAATAGGCTAAAACTGCCAAATTAAATACCCCAAATAGAATAAAACTGCGAAAGATAAAATAACTTTTAACTGATTTAGTCTTAAGAGTACACAATAAAAAGTAACGACGCCGAGTCTGATGATTGGACAATCGAGACTACTGTTTATTTAAAGAAATATGTTCTTGTTTCTACTTTCGATTTGTTTTGCCTGTACTTCTGTTTTAGTGTGTTCTTTTATCAAATGAGTTGATGTGAAGTTGGTATAATTAGGTAAAATGATGATAGAAACAACCAATGAGATTATAAGAATAGTATGTCAGTTTGGAGGTAACAGAATGCGGTCAACCGTTGCCTATAAAGGCGGTTAATATAAAAAATAAAGATCATAGAAGACAATCTAATTAAAATGCTGATCTAGCTATTTCATTTCAAAGTTTTTTGTGGGCAAATCAGTATGCGGAAGGATGGAATTTTTGTAAGTGTTACGGGTAACTGTTAGTCAGCTGGTAAAGACGACTGTATCCTACCGCGATACGGGAGAAGAATTGAGACTAGTTAGGTTTTTCCGCCTCCCCCAATATCTTATCATTTAACGTAGGGAACGCCACAAAGTTTCTATGCAAAAATCGGTACCTAAAACTCATTGATGACCAACTTTTTGTAGCCTATATTATGATCCAGTTCCCATTTATTATATAAAAATTGTTAAATATCACCTATTTAGATAAAAGGTAAAAACTACAAATATACCAAGTTTATAAGTAAATAGAAAATCAGAGAAAAACACAGAAACACAATCATTTGAATCGATATTCACAATTTATACGAAACCTGTA